GTCCCCCCCCCACGCAGGAAAAATTGTGGGTACGCCCCTGATTCCGTATGCGAAGTTGATTCCGTACTCGATCGAGGAAACTCGATTAGGAACTCTTCGACAGCGGACAGACACCTTCAGAGATGGCACACAACTGTGAGCTCCGCCCAGACTCGTCGGTTGCCAGTTGCCACTGACCAGCCTGACAATGAACTGCCCAAAATTGGAGAAGCTGTGAAATTACTGTGAGGGGCTTCTGCGCGGATCTTGGGGAGCACCGCGGATCTTTTGAGGGCCTACTTCCGAGCCTACTTCCGACCCATGTCGCATCGTGGCACGCTGCGTCGGACATCTCGTCCGAATGTGGAGCGGGAATGTTTCCCAATGTCGATCGAGACTGCTCCTCGCCCAGTCGTACTACTATCCATCCTTCCATTGGCTTCACTCACTTCTGTCCGCAGGTTCTCAGCCTCTATTGTACATAATACATTTTGCATAATATCTGTGATCGACAATAAAATCCTGCGTCTGAAACGATCCACAGTGATCGCTGTCATCGACTTAGGCTTGATGACTTAACTGCATGGAATTCCTGGAGATATGCCTTTCGCTGTATCCTGGGTTGGGGGCCTTTAGGTCATATGGCCCCTGTATGAAATCCGCATGAGCGTAGAGAAGGAACGGAGCAAGTGGACTTGCCGTGATCGGATCATACAGAGGAATTCCCATCCTTGAGTCATGGAGGAAATATGAGAAGGAGTGCTTGAACTTCACATGAGACAAGCTACGTAAAACGAGGACGAGAAGGGCCAGATCCTTCCGGAAGCTCATCACGATATGCTTGTTCTAGTCCCGATGAGGTAAGGAAACCCAAAGTTTATCAAGGCTCGAAGCACGGGCGAGGAAACTCTGGTCGGGCAATACGGACTTGGCGGACGATGTAGGAGGTCGTCAGGAATCGACGCCGACGTCGATGCCCTCCTTTCGGGCAGCACCGGGAGAGCGCCCTCCTTACACGACGCGACGTCTGAGCTTTCCGGAGGGTTCGGATGCGAGGAGAGGACCATCTTTCGGCACCTCAACGAAGTCGGCCTCATTCCCAAGCCTAATGCTTGGGTGGCTCACCAAGTATCGGAGCACGAGAAGCATCGACGATCGGATGTATCTATAACTTTTTCCACGAGCTCCGGGCGAAAGCCCTCCCTCGAGCGCATCGTGACAGGAGACGAGAAATGGATTCTCTGTGACAATTTGTAGAGGGGTGGAGCCTGGAAGAGAGCTCGCGTTTTCTTCGAGACGCGACGGAGTCCGGCTTGCCGATGATACTGTCCGAAGCCCCAACTTTCCAAAGCTGGCTCGTCAAAGTCTGCGAGGGACTGGCAAGTCCCTCGAATGGTTTGAAGAAGTTGGGAACCCTACTACCGCATGTGTTCCAAACATCTTGCGTCGTGGTGCTACTCGGGTCCGCGCAGGGTTCATCCGCGCTGCGTAGAATTCGGCAGTGGTTATGCCTCATTCTGAATTCAGCTCATACTAACATAAGTCAGATGTCGCCCATCACTATTTTTCTGTGTTCTCCCCCTCCGAGGCAGGAATCTGATAATGCGTCCTGCGGACCTATCCCACCTTCGATTCTAGATGCTAAGGATAGGGGGTCATCGACTCTATCGAGCGATCCAGCAAAACGCCGAAAGAAACCTATATGAAAAACTACAGAATGATAGCTGAGAGTGGCTCCGCGTCCGCCCGGGCATTGACTTGGCTACCGTCCTCAGCAGCGGCGGAAATCCAGCTCGCGTGCGGCCTCCGTCTCGGCCTCGATCTGTTTGCCGAACCCATGCGCCGATGCGGTAGCCTGGTGGACTCCAAGGGATACCACCATTTGAGCTGCACAGCAACGGCCCTTTACCGTCCAGCCCGCCATCAGGCGCTAAGGATGTTCTGCTCAGAGCGATCCGCCAGCTAAACGTCTCGGTTCGGGCAGAGCGTCCTGACCTGAGTGAAAACCGCCGGAACCGACCAGATGGAAGGACGCTGACCCATGGAGGAGCGGTAAGTTGTCGGTATGGCTTTCTCGATTCGCGATGCTTTTACGCAGAGTTGGGTGGACCTGGCTCGGACCGTCGGAGCGGTTGGAGCAAGGGGAGGAATAGACAAGTTTCCTCACTACAGAGGGCCATCTGATGGAATATATCTTCACCCGATCGGGAGATGGCTCCTGAGATATCGATCGGAAAGGAACCCTCCGAGCATGAGACAAGATCGAAGCCGAGCCTGAAAGCTCTCGGTCCCTGCCGAACCCCAGGCTTGACGATGCCAGAGTGAAAAGCTCAGAGAGCTTCCATCAAGAGACTCCGGTTCTGGTGGGGCAGCGCAGGATCGCTGTTAGGTATCGAGATAATCGCGGGTTTTTGGGGGGAATCCGTATCCCACCTCGTAGGGATATGGGACCGTCAAGTCCCGCTTACGTCAAGTCCCGATCGGAGGAGGGGTGAACAGGATTCTTGACGGACTCCGCCGTCAGTTGTGTCGCCCAGGATCTCATGAGTCTCAGGGAGGGTTTAGGTGCAGAAAAGGATGGAGCTCAGATATTAGGACCTCGCACGTCGAGGACGGAGAAGCTCTTCTCCGGAGTTCTACACTTCGCTGATTTTCGTATGTCCCCCTAGAGCAGCGGCTCCCTATTTCTTTTTCGCCCGGGACCCCCGCCGGACTTCGCGAGTCTGCCCGGGACCCCCTGCCATGTCCTGTCAAAACCGTAGCTTCGGGGTATACAGGTCATTCGCTATTCGCTTAGCGGTACGATTCTCTATCGTATGCGCTCGTCGGCATTTATTCCTTTTTGATTCAACCATGTTCACTTATGACTTATTTATGACTCAATGAACATCTCAATGACTTTTGTGCTGTCTTTTGCAATCCACAATATCTGATATACGTGGCCCTGTCGAGTTCAAAGCTAAGCGCAGATCTGCTTCAGGGTTAAGACGCGATCTCTTCTTTGTTTTGATTGTTGACAAAGTACTGAAGCCGGATTCATACAGGTACGTCGTTACGAACGGAACAAGAAGCATGAGAGCGCTCTCAGCAAGTCGTGGGCAACTCCCCATGATTGAGCACCAAAACTCCTCCAAGTTTTTGTTCTGAAATCCCATGGCTAAGGCCCGATCCTCGCGGAGTTCGATGAGATCTGCTTCGATTTTGCCGCTATCAGAGAGGTTTTGGATGTCGAAGGAGAAAGGATCCAATATCCATTCTTCGCAGATCTCGAGGTCCCCTGGTGCAAAATACCCGTCGAAAGATTCAGACAGCAAGTTCAAATGTGCCGATACTCCCGGAACTATCACAGTCGAAGTTGTGTCATCCTCTGTGGAACAAGTTTTCTGCAGCGATGGGAAGTTTGTCAAGTTTCCGCTCTCTACTCGTCTCCGACAAAGCTGCAATTTTGCTGTGAATGCTTTAAACTTTTGTTTTGCAATGAGCATGTTTGATTCCCTGCCTTGAAGAGATTTGCTCAGTTCATTCAGCAGACTGAAAATGTCCGCGAGATAGGCCAATCGTTTGAGGGACATCGGAGCTTCGAAGTCGCCCAGGAGATTACCCTTTTGATCCTTCAAGAATAGCTTGACCTCATCTTGGAGCTCGAAAAAGCGGGAGTGTGCTTGTCCGCGAGAGAGCCATTGTACGCTCGTATAGAAAGGAGCACTGTGTGCTCGCTCCTAAGGCTCTCGCATGGCGATTTGATTAAACGATGATTCAGAGCCCGACCCCGGATAAAGTTGATAGCCTTCACGGACAAATCTAGAACATGTTTGAGCTCCATCGGAAGCGTCTTCGAGGCCAGAGCATGGCGGTGGAGAAAGCAGTGGGTTGTCTGCAAATTCGGAATTTCCCGCCTCATAAAGGCACAAAACTCGGACTTGTTGCCGAGCATTGCCGGCGCACCATCGGTGCAAACAGAGCCAATGGTCTGCAAGTCCAAGTTGTGCGTTTCGAAGAAATCTTTCATGAGTTGGCGGACAACTGCATATTTGCCCGATATTTCCTCGAGCTACCGAATACACGTATTTCTCTGTGGGGCGATAACATCAGCATTTTACAGCGGACTCCGGGACCCCGGGGGATGGGATTCGGGACCCTCAAGGGGTCCCGGGACCCCCATTCGGGAACCGCTGCCTTAGGGGATAGAGGGGCTGAATCCTTAAGGAAGTCGGAACATTCCCCGAGAGCAGACTCCCTTCTCTTTCAGCTGTGCGCTCTCCACTTGATTGCGCAGAGAGGGTGCCCCGTATTCAGAGGCGCGGGAGCTGGGCTGGGCGATGCCAGCGATCGGGATGGTTGGGAAGGATACCCGGTAAAGGTCAGCAGCCCTCACGATCCAAGCCCCGCGCCTTTTTCCGAACGGTCCTGTGGTAGATCTCATAGAGGGAAGTTCCCCGTGCGTAAATATGCATCGGTCGAGGGTCTTCGCGGGTCGAAGCCGGAGTACTGGGGCTCATCCCCTGAGCCAGTATTGCCGGTCCTCAATTAACAGACGCACCGTCGACGTTCGAGAACGGAAGCGACGCATTTCTGCTCAGTGAATTGGGTGTTCGCTTACTCCGAAACACACCCTGGCCGACTCCCGAGATGGGTAGCACGTGTATGCTACGATACCACGGATTTTACGAATTCATGAATCATGAAGCTGGTGCGAAACGATTTGTGAGCTTCTGGCTCTTAAGTCTATAGTTCCCTCCCATGCGCTGCTCGGAAGACCGCCTACGCATGTATTTTCGTTTCCAATGACCTGGCACCATCGTAAGCCGACTGAGGAACTCGTTCCGCAGAAATTTCAGGGAGACTCTTAATTTGCGAGTATCCGTTCCAAATGATACATCTGCAAGGCCCGCGCTCGCGGAGTCGCAAGGCTTTACCAGATTTTCTTCCTCCAAATCGTCTGGAGTTCTTCCGAAATTCGTCTTGCATGTTTCTCAGCCAAATTCGTCATTCCCGGTACGACCTGGTCGAGCGCCAATCATCGCCAGGAGATCCGATCCAAGGGCGAGGAATTCGGACCAGAGTTTCCTCTTCTTGTCCAGGGATCCCCGGAAGCAACCCGGTCGCTGATCATCACTGACGTAAACCACTTGAGGAGGAAATTGGAGCGATGAGAACTCATATACAGCGGGGATTTCCGGTGATGATTATTACTCTGTATCCAGGCGGACATGAACTCTTTGAACCTGCATTTTTCCTGCTCCACTGATACTCAATCCTCGTTTTGCATGCTCCTCGGATTCAAACGAGGAGACGCGGTTTCGAACGAGTGCAATCGCTTATGAGAGCGTCCATGCTCGGTCATTGATCATGCTGCCTCGATCGCCGATGATGTCACCAGAGATCACTTCTAGATCGCTATGAGCGAGTCAAGGGTCATGAGTTTCGGGTAGTCGATGGAGCATCCGTAGTCGCGAGCCCGATTTTCTAGAACACCAGCCGAAATCGTACCGAAGGTAACTCGTCTTCTTCAGGTATCGCGCCGATTCTCCCAAAATGTTCTGCTGTAGGAGGATTTGCCGCGTAGTCGATCGAATTGACCTATCTCTGATTCATCTTGCTTACTTCGGCTCCATACTCAACGTCGTGGGACGATGTACAGTCCCGGAGTTCTTTCATTCAGAATTCTGGTCCGGGGAGCATTGCTGGTCACTGATATCCTTGCGAAAAAGACATTTCATAGTCTGCGGGGATCTCCAGCGTAATCCATCCCTTCAACAGAGCTCTTCATTCCTCGAGAACAAGATCATTTGATCAAGGGTGAATATTACAGGTCTTCACGCCTTTTTTTGATGATCCTTCGTTCTAGAACCTTGAACTGTGTTTGAGGCCAGAATTCGGCTATCAGTTCGATTTCTTCGTATGGGATTGGCGCGCTGAGGGAGCACCGAAGGTCTCGCTAAATACCGATAAAGCTAAGCCTGAGGATGAGCTTTGATGAAAAAGTTACTATTCTCATCGGAGTCTTCGCGGAGCTACCAAGTCCGAGGAGCAAAAGGCTCCGGGGATCGATTTTGGATGCGAGAGACTCCATTTGGCGAGGGCTAGTAAAACTCGATCGAGTTCCAATGAATTGAAGATGTGGAATTCCCGCTAGGCGAAATATCCACCCCAAGCCCCGTTTCGAAAAAAAAAGCGAAGCGATACCCTAGACTCTAGAAGGAGGAAGTCTTCCCCCCCTCCCACTAGTTGCTGGATCGTTGTTAGTTGGTTTGCCCCGGAGGTTGACAGTCAGGAGGAAGAAGAGGGAATAAGAGAGGGCGAGCGAGCGAACAGCAGGGTGGCTGTTCCTCTCTTCGTATTTTCGCAGCGCCTTTCCACGGTCTGCCTTCGGTCTTGCCAAGTGGGATGACGACGATCACGACAACGACTACCACGACGACGCTCTCCTAGGCATAAAAAAAGCTCGCACAAGGCGTGGCCGGAGAGCGCTCCGCCTCCGGGGGAGGCGCCTGCAGGATGCAGTCCGAATGTGTGCAGGACAGATACCCGTGAAGATACGAGGAGCGCGACAAGCCGCGCTTCAAGTTGCCACTGAGTTTGAGTGCCGTGCTGTCTGGGATGGAATCAGAACATCTCTGAGGGAGGTAAGTTCTTGCCACACCGTTTCACGTCGGAGCTTGGGAGGTCCGGTGACCTCTTCAGCGGAGTTCTTGGGGAATGCAGTTTCCGCGTTGCCGCAAACATCTGCTGTCGTGCACGCGGAGCCCATCGATACCATGAGAGGAGATTCCTCCCACTCGACGTATTTTATGATCACTTTGTCGGGGACGCACATTGCGAGCGGCCTATTCCTCGACCAATAAAAAGGTTCAATACACAGCTGGTGGGAAGGTACTCCTTGCAGTCGGCGATTCTTGTTTAAATGATGGAGCCGGTGCGCGGAATCATTTCAAACAGCTGGAGCTCTAATTCAGTTCCCCAAGCGAACGCCATGCGAACCATTCATCATGTGATAAAGTGATTGTCCCTTTGAGAAGGAAAAACATTGATGATCGAGCTCAACGGATAGAACACCACAATGAATCTGAATCGCACCGAAAATGGATTGAAGGGGCATACGAGATAAGACTCCACTGTCGAGATGGAGTCGGCTCCGCGATCTCTCAAGTTGTTTGATTTCTCGTCGGCCAGCTGAAGTTCGTTGGGAACGATGGATGCGGAAAGTGGGAAATGATATAATCTCTACAAGTCGCGCGTCGGAAATCCACCATATGAACCTTGATGTTCGGGAAGACCTCGCACGGGCGAAGTCTCGTTGCCGCTGTCAGTGGGTCGTGAGACTCGTGAATCCTCTGCGAAGCTTCGTGTCTCTGTCTGATTATTCTCTTTGCCCCGTGAACAGCAGGTGTGACCGCTCTTTGGTCTCTGCTGCAACCACTGTTCGATCTTGGATCCGGAGCCTGCTCCGAACCGTATCTTCATCGAAGGCTCGGCATGGGAGGTCGTCTGATGGGATATGGGGGGTCAGTTCCGGCCTCGCTCTGCCCTGCATTGTCAGAATCGAAACCAATCTCGACGTTCGCCCTCTTCCGGTGCCATCGCGGAGACTCGATTGGCTTCTTGCGCGAACTCCGGAAACTTTAGGTCATTGTCTCCGGGCTTCTATTAAATTTTTTGACGAAGAGATTGAAAACAAGGGGTTCCTTAAAGCACGCGCAATTAGCGGTTTCCGATAAAAGTATCCGGTCCTTGGACTAGAGCGACTTGCGTGACTCCAGCCCCGAGATAACGCTCACGTTGCTCTGCGAGGCCCAATGTATTACATTGTTCGAACTGACCCCTAGACTCCAATCATTCCAACTGCCGCTTTCCAAATTTAGAGTTTGTGGTGGTGCGGAATCTTAGAAACACTTTCCTCAGTCCTCGACTTCGACCGATTGTATTTCCGAGCAGGGTAGAATCTGAGCTCAGTTCGATCATCATAGATTTTTTTATCCTCGATTATTCCGATTGAATCGCTCGCTTCTTCGTCGGGGCCAACACGGCTCGGGAGTTCTTGTTCTGCGCGGCAGATACCGTTGCACCCGAACTTGACGTGTTCCATGATATATTTTCCCCGAATTGAAATCGTCACGGTCTTTGTGGGCTGAATTCGGCACCATTCGGGCCCAGGTGGAAAGTACCGGAGGATGTCGGCCAGAGAGCATAGGGCTCCTGTGGAGGTTCTTCGAATCTCACTCAAGCAGTCAGAGATCCCATTCTTGATGAAAAGGAAGCTCTAGCGGTCAGCTTTGTCCCTCTTGCGGAGCTCTGAGACCTGGAGAATCAGGAAGGCCCATCGATTTCCGAGAATATTGAGGAAGTTCTTATGATTGTACAAAATAGGCGTCCGGCCCGAGAAATGAACGACCTTCATTCGCTTCTTTCCTCGGAGGGTGATTTTGACAGAATCGAAAATCGCTGACTTGAGCCGACAGATTTCCGCGAGACTCGCTGTGCTCATTCCAACGGGGAACAGCGATCCCGTCTCTAGTGCGGTCTCTTAGAAGTCCTCTCATCTGGAATAGATCGTCAAACTCCTTCAACTACAGGAATCCGCTGTTACCATGGGCGGCGGTCACTGTGGAACATCCCCGTGCTTTCAGGTCCCGCAACTTGGAATATTGCAATGGTTCACCGGAATCTAGAACCGGGGCAGTATCGGGGCAATAATGGTGCGGCCAATCTCTGGAACTGATCAGAGCTGATTAGCAGTTAGCTTCGAGAGAGCCACCCGAATTCCCTCTGGAAGACATACAGATCTCGACTGCGATATGGATACCACGCGGGAGTCAAAAACCTTGTCGCGGGATGTCATACACCGCGATCACTCCTGAGAGGATCCCCTCGACGGGGAACTAGGGGGGGATGGCTCCGTATCGCAGCAGGAATTTCCCCAGTTCCTGATCTCCGACTAACGCCTTTATTCCTCGGGATATTTTTGGAATCATCATCATGATCGGGACCTACAGACGCAATCAATGATCTGTAAGCCCCTGTCTTTGCAGTTTGGTCTCGCAGTCAAGCCTTAGATTCGCATCCTTGCGGAATGAGCTCAAGAGCGACTGAAGGATTTCTCGTTCCGAGTCGGTAGGTCCGTCTGGCACGAATCCGAGTACGGATGCCAGACTCGAGTCAGAATCTTCAAGATTCAAAACGGTGCCAGGAGGACTGTCGCCAGCTCTTCGTCCATGGCTTGAAGCGTTTTCTGGGTCGATGCGGCCAGCCGGCGGAGGTTTTCCATCTCGAGGACTAGCGATGCGATATCGACCAGAGAGAGTTCATAGAAACATATATTCGAATAAGCGACAAGGTACATACGATGGTCAACGATCGTCGCCATCTATCCCCGAAGCCGAAGAGTATACGCGGTCGGAGCGTAGACTCGAGCTCAGAAGCTCAGTTGGAATTATGGATAACCGGATGCCTTATTCCGTCTATTCGTCTTGATCCCTGCACAGTGATCCTGATGAATAATGGAACATTAGGTCCGACGCCGGAAGGAGACTCGAGATGCTTGTAAATTCTCAACATCCCATCAGTACCGATCAGAAACGGTTCGCGAGACGTCAGCTTGCGAATACAAGAATGTAGATGTCGGTCTGAAGCTGCCATTCGTTTCCAGGTTTAGCTTAGGCGAGGGGAAAATGACAAACCTCCAATGGTCTCGAGGAGCGGATGGGGATGAAGATGAAGACCATGATGACGAAGAGGAAGATGTTGCTACGGGCGGAGGCACCGAGTTCATCAGCGACGATAACAACCCTCACGGTAGGTTTTTGGCGGAAGAACACCCCGACAAAGAGAAAAAGATTTGAAGATAAATCAATCCTGTGGATCCTTGACGCCTCGGATATGAATTTAATGCGACCCTCCGGATAGTCTCCGAAGTAGCGTCGAGAGTTGCCTTGGGGGTGAAGATGTATCGGAAACGACTCCAACGATTATTCGGAATACCCATACATACACCGGAAGCTCTCCCTCTCCAGAGCGGTCTCGCAGGAGCATATGAGCGCGATTGCACGCGCGAGTCGATAAATGAGCGTGTAATTCTGTTACACGAGCACGAGACCGATCTCGGAGCGGTTCCATTATTGTCATTGCTAGTGACGGCAGGTGCTCTTCTTGTCCGTCGAAAGGTCGCTTGAGAAGAGATTCGTCTCCGCGTTTAGACGTCCTCGCGCCAAACAACCATACGGAGAGCATTTCCCTCCTCAGGGAGAAAGAGCGATCGATTCTCCTGACTCCGCCCGTGTCCTTTCCCTCGACCCCACAAGCCACACACAATCCACCGAAACGAGTGTCTCTTCCTCCTCTACTACTTCGTTGTGGCATCGGCGACGCCAAAACGCCATCGGTACTTCAGGTCTCGAGACACTGTCTCTCGATCTTTCGTCTTTTTTTTCATATCGCGCGCGGAAAAAAAATAGGTACTCCATGAGCGGGGGCTACATTCGAGAAGCCAGCGAAGCGAGGAGAAGGGGGATGGGATCGAGAGGGGAAAGCCGCTCCGCGAGCAGTCGACCAATCCGACCTTTCAATCATTCCACTCTTGAAGCACCGAGCAAACATCGTGAAAACATGACCATTGCCAAGGAGGCTCCTGGGCGATTAATTCCTAATCGTCGCTCTTTCGTCCGACGGCTCGAGCTCGCTCGACTGGCGAATACCTACACGGAACGGTTTGCGTGACAGCGTAGTTTCGAATTTCGATCTGGGGCCAGAGCAGCCTGAATCAGCCCCGATCGGAAGGGCATGCCTCCGACGGAGACTCCCGCGGCCCTCGACAAGCGAAGAGTTCAGACTCCAGCGTCTCTTGAGAGGTTTCAACTCTTACGGCTTCTCCTCACGATTGAATAAAACTGCCGTGTCCGCCTTTGAGGATTTGAGACAAGCCACCGAAGGATTCCGGCGCAAGGAACTTTTCCCGAAGATACTTCAAGTTGCTCAGTGTCGAGCCATCGATCGAGTGGCGGGAGCCGGATGTTTTACCGGAAGAGTCGCGTTCGAATCTCACCGAAATGTGGTCTACTGATGGGCTCGCGACGATTCTCTGTCGAGATTTGCGCTAGCGCCCGAGGCGGTACGGAAGTCGCCAAAAAGCGGCGCCACCTTCGCCAACTACGAGTGTTTTGCTTGGTGTGGCCTCCTTCGTCCACTTTGTGCGGTTCCTCTTGTGGCTCGCAATTGGAGATGAGTCGGAAAGTCGGCTTCCCCATCCCCCGGTTTGAAACTCTCGATATCTTTCGTTTCAGGCATTTTGAATCTGCAGAATCCGTCGGATACCGGGTCGCGCTTGGAGGTATGCGCTGGCTGCGAACGACCCATCGTCGATCGCTACATCATGAAAGTCCGGGAAAGCTCGTGGCATGAGTCCTGTCTCATCTGCTCTGTCTGCCATCAACATCTAGCAACATCATGTTATTCTCGAGAGCGGCGAATTTTCTGTAAAAACGATTACGATCGGTGAGTACCGATTAGGGAGTAGAGCGCGTGCGCGCTCTCCCTCGTCGTCCGCGGTAGGTAGGCCAAATAACGGTATTCGGTTACGACTCTCTCCGGGAGGCAAGCTGTTGAGACTTGCTGAATTTTAATGGCGGCTCAGTTCATAAACAAAGCTCGCAACAAGGGAAACCCCGGACTCGAAACCTGCTCCAATGAGGCGGAACTCCTCCGACGAGAGGAATCGCGTCCGCAGTCGACGAGCGGAACGCTATCTGAAAGCATATTTTACACTCCGTCGGTTTCTCCGTGGTTCGTTCGTCATTTTTCGCACTGCGTCGCGAAATGAAAATTTCTTCCCGCCGCAATGGTGATATATCGCGTCGCTGTCGTTCCTCGGCGATTTCTCTCCACTTCGCCTCCCGATGCCCCCCAGTACTCCGATCCTAGTCGCAGGGTTGAAGGGTGAATTCGTATGAGTTGTCTCAAGTTTTCCATCGAGATCAGACACGTATCTCCAAGAGTTCGGTGTGGGAAGCTCGTTCCAACGATTCGAGCGAGCCGTGATCCGGATCCGGCTTTCCGTCGAGTTTCTGGGAAGACGCGGTCAGTGTAAACGGGATGGAGACAGTCTTGGTGGCGATCCTATTTCTCGCTACGGGAGGAATCTCCCCAGCCGAGCTGGCGAACAAGTCACCCCTTCGCTCGTCCCCTCCAATTCACGCTCAGTTACCCTCCACGGGACAAACAGAGCGGGTGGAGAGAGCGGTTGAATGGAATGAAGAAAAAAGCCAACACATCGCAATCCAGTTTGATTCTCGATCCGATCGTGGCACATCGTTGATCGGGTCGGGTAAGGAGGAAAAACAGAAGCGTCGAAATCGGTGATCGATACTCGTGATTGCCGAGAACGTTCATCAATTGCGACGGAGTCTCCGAAATCACTCCTCTACTACATACTACGGATCTCGTAGCCCGTGTCATCGTATCGTATGCCTTCTCAGAGAAAGAGAAGGTTCCTCTCTCTCTCTCTTCTCGGAGCAGAGAAGTTTCATCTAGCTTCCAATATGAGCTCCATCCGGGGCGTTGAGAGAATCGCTGCTGATCCTTTGAAGTGCATTCGAGTGGAAGAAGAGAGCGGACCAGTCGAAGCGAGCGCCCGACAAACAACTCTCGTGAAACATCATCGGTGTCCGCGAGAGATCTTCCAAAGAGACGAATTCTCACTGACTGAGTCAGTGGGACCGAGAGTCGAATCGTACTGACCGAGTGGCGCCTCCTTCCAGACGTGGGCGCCTCGGTGGTGTTGCACCCGGTCATCCAATAAGGGCGAGTTAGCGGGCGTTAGGCGAGCGCGGGTCGAGATTAGCAAAGCGCCGCTGCAGCACCCATTTGTCCCCGCGGGGCACCTTCAGGTCAATCCTTATTTACCCTACGGGATTCCCACGGAAATTACCTTTCTCGATACTGTTGCTGGCTCGTGACCGTTCTTTACCCATGGTCTATCCACTCGCCAGTCCCACTGCATCGAGGAGTGGATTAGGCATGTCTTCCTTGAGGCGATTCCGATTTGACTGAAGAGGCGGCCGGTCAACATCTAGAGAAACAGAGAATGTCATCGATGATGGGAGTCGGAGCTCTCCGATGGCCGAGAATCATATCGATGAGCTTCCCATGCAACAATGCAACGAAGAGGAGAGCCTCGCGAGTCTCATCTGCATGCGCCGCGATTCTCATTCATGTGATAGGACTCATGGGCTTCGCTCGCAGTGGACGATGAAAGAAATCGATGCGATCAGCCGGAGCTCTCATGCTTAGATCGTTGCTCAAGAGCGTAGTTGACCCACATAGCCTCGTTGAGTGTGATGGGAGGAATCGTCGTGCGGTTTCGGCATTCAAAAACAGAAAAAACGACGTCCGCCCTTGTGAACGGGTCTTGTCATGCATCGTGCGACCGCAATGCGGCTATCTAGTTGAAGTGTCTATAGTGGATCGCGAACGGCGATGCCTCATCCCGGATGACATTTGCCTGTGAACGAGGTAGCGAATGAGACGACTTCATGAAACTCGCATCGCCGAATCATCACCTGATCCAGCGACGAGCTGTGTGTGTTCGTCTCAGGGAAGTTTAAACCGCGGGCGACCAGCGACACGCGACCGTCCCTCCATTCAATATTAAATGCTAATAACTCTGCGAACGCCCGAGTTCTTCGCGAGGGAACGCTCACGGATGTCGCAAGGTGTGAAGCTCTCTGCCCAGGTGCGAAGCTTGCTCGGGCTCGCGATCCTCGATTACGCGGGAAAAAATCTCTTGTGAGGCATTTTTTTCTCGCGGCCGCGATGATACGAAACGTCCGTACGGACCGCCTGTCGAGAAGCTCATACGGAAACCCGCACCACCGAACGCGACCGATTCCATTGTTGGTCACGTGTCGCTGCACCGTGTCCTCTCTATTGGGAGCTGTGGCCAGGGATCCAATGAGTGAGAAGGAATGCAGTTGGACGGGACAGCCCTCTGTTCCAGACGAACAGAAATCGAAAACCAGCTCTCCGGGCTGGAATCGATGAGCCGGTCTTGTGTTGGGAATCTCCGGACATTGAATGAGAGTTCGAACGACGGCTCCAAATCTCTCCGAGATCAATCGATCCGCGATCGCAAGAAGATCGGCCCTGCCTGCCCCATGGAATCGGGGGGGGGGAAGGAGACAATTCTCGACCGGAATTTTTACAAGCGTATAACGATGCATTGCATGTGGTGAAGAAGTTTTAGAGTCACGCCTATCTTGGGGGAAGTCGCTCGGGATAACAACGAAGGAAGATGGAGGCGCGCAGGCGAGCGAGAAGTCAGTCAGTCAGCCGGGTGAGCGAGCGAGCAGTATTTCAATTTTCCTCGCCATTCTTTTAGGGATTGGCCTTTTTGCGAGCAGCGAGAATCGCTTGCGACCGAACGCAGGTGCTCGCCGCGTGACGAATGACTCCAAACAATCTTTCGCTGCTCCTTGCGTCTCCTTGCGATCCTGAGTGACAGTCACAACGACGACGAGTTCTCGGTCTCTGACTAAAACTCGTCGTATGCAGGTGCGGATTGAATGAAAGAAAACACGCTGGCCATCGGAGAGAGCCTGGGCTCGGTAACCGAGTAGTTCTTGTTCATTGAGACCAATCAAAACTCTGTCCTTCTCTCCCTTCCTCTGTTTCCGCCATCAATCTCCGGAGCTGTCATCACAGAGGATATCTTTGCATTACTTACTCGGACGTCCGAATAATTATTCCCCTCCCGGCCGGCGTCTACGTTCCGTTATTCGGTTGACCGTCCGGAGCTGTTTTCCAGTGGCATCTCGGTGGTGATACCGTGCGGCTCACGGAGATGATTCTCTTCGTCTGGCCCACGCAGGCCGACCTCAGAGTTCGACTCGCGGCTTGTCGGGCTTCGTTGAGCTTGGAATTTGTCGCAGGGCAGCGCTTTTTAATCCTCCAATTTACGACCGAGTCCCCCTCGACATACACAGGCATAAGCCACACACAGGCAGACTCTTTACGGAGACTTGGACCTCCTTGACTATAATCCTTGAACAAATGGAGCTCGCAGGAGCGACGACTGGAGACTCGTGGGCTTGCTCAATCGATCACTGTCTCGGTAACACGCTCTCCTGACATCGTATCGCTCATATTAATCTGCCAGAACATCCAGGTTAGTTGCTCCGATGCGGCTAACGGCAACGAAAGCCGAACTACACCCTCTCGATTCCATCAATCTATCTATCGAGCGAGGTCTGACCGATTGTCAGGCGTCCGGCTCCTCGTCGGACGATCGCCGGTTGCAGCGACATCACGGTCGGGAGCCATAGCTGTTCGGCTCCATGGAGAGCAAGCGGATACCGTCGGCCAAGAAACGATATCTCACTCGGAGATCCTCGCCGCAGTTTCTTATGAATCCTGAGGAGCCAGATTGATTTTACGCGGAATAACGTCCGACGTGCGAGGAGACGCGATCTCCCGTGCTGCAGCTGTGCGTCGATCTCGGTGGGCGGAGCGGCTGATCGCAATTTCCGCCGGCTCCGGTATTAACTGGTGGAAGTGAACGTGAGCCGTTCCGCACGAGAGAGATGGTCCCTCCGTAGAAACTTGATCTGAATCTACCTGCACCCAATAACAGTGTAGCCTGCCCCCGCCCCCTTCCACTCGGGGCCAGACTCGCCTGTTACTTCTTGGCCAGCCGCGACTGACTGACTGAGTTGCTCGAACGAGCGACCGACCGACAGGCTGACTGACTGCCGGCTGACTGGCTGCTTGCCTGCCGGCTGACTGGATGCTTGCCACTTGGCGACGGCAACAGCTGGCTTACGCCCCGCTTAGCATATAGGCTTAGTCAGGCGCTCGGGAGTGCTCCAGTAGAGCGCGGCTGCTGCCGCGGCCAGAGCTACTCCTGTTTCTTCTTCCGTCGTCGTCGTCGGCGGCGACCGAGGGAGCCGAGTAGCCGGAAGAAGAAGAACATGGGAGAGTTGGCATCTTGATGAGTGTTGGTGCCGAGTGCTCACGGAGGTAGAATCGAACAAGCTTGGGAATTCGTGCTGATTCAGATTGGTCACTCAGACGGAAAGCCGCTCGTCTACCTACGCCTTCCCGCCACTTCGTAACGGAGTGACAAATCGTCGTCGCTGTGTAGTTTGTCAATAACGGTGCAAGAGTTGCTCTATCGCGACTTGTACTTTCGGCCTGCATCTACGTAGCGATTCCGACTCTGGTTTCGTCGATGATGGTTTCGAGGCACGAGATTCCCGAGCAGAGGCATGCTACACGGGGTTCCGATCTGGAAGCAACAGTTCAAATGAGCAGGGAGGGATGCCCGCTGAGTTTCTTGGCAGGCGTAGGTGTCCCATGGGTGCGAGAGCCGATCGTGGAAGTTTAATAAAATCATCACATCACCCCCGAACAGTGAGGGACCGCCTGCTGATGAGAATTGGATAATGGCCCAGATTAGTCGCAGAATTGTAAGCTTCGACACACACTATCCAAGGGCTCAC